GAATGGCGACCCTATAAAAAAAACTTGCCAAGTATGGCGAACATAACCTAACAAAAAACTTGCCGAGTATGGCGAACATAAAACAAAAAAAAACTTGCCAAGTATGGCGAACATAAGATGAACAAAAACTTGTCAAGCACGGCGAACATAAGATGAACAAAAACTTGCCAAGTATGGCGAACAGAAGATAAAAAACTTGTATGGAAACCCTACAAGTATGGAGAACCCTACCCTATGGCGAACATAAGATAAAAAAAACTTGCCAACAATGGCGAACCTATAAAATAACCTCTACAAAAAAAAAAACTTGCCAAGTATGGCGAACTTATATAAAAAAAAACTTGCCAAGAATGGCGAACATAAGACAACAAAAAACTTGCCAAGTACGGCGAACATGAGATAAAAAAAAACTTGCCAAGTATGGCGAACTTATATAAAAAAAAAACTTGCCAAGAATGGCGAACATAAGACAAAAAAAACTTGCCAAGTATGGCGAAAATAAGATAAAAAAAAAAAAACTTGCCAAGAATGGCGAACATAAGAAAAAAAAAACTTGCCGAGTATGGCGAACATAAGATAAAAAAAACTTGCCAAGCACGGCGAACATAAGATAAACAAAAACTTGCCAAGTATGGCGAACAGAAGATAAAAAACTTGCCAAGTACGGCGAACATAAGATGAACAAAAACTTGCCAAGTATGGCGAACAGAAGATAAAAAACTTGCATGGAAACCCTACAAGTATGGAGAACCCTACCATTGTCGTGGTGGTAGGGCAACCAAAGCCGGTCGTCCCACATTTCAAGAAGAACATGAACGCTCAACGTGGACAACTGGAACGTCTAAACATACCACATAAACATATCAGTTATTACCAGCATGGCAAAGTTTCACACACTCTAACCCGGTTGAGCAGAGCAGCTCCGATGAGAAGTCATTTGTCCATCGAATTACCAGTGTGATGAATTCACCAGAAACGCAAATGCTGCTCTGCTCAACTGGGTAACCCTACCAATTGCATGTACCTTGACGTGGTGGTAGGGCAACTAATTGATCCGTTATGAAAAGTCATACTTTGTGAATTGAAGTAACCAACATGTCTTGCTATTGATAGCAAGTAGACCCAAATTGTACTCATTCAACTACGGTTCAATTAGACTAAACATGCAAAACACAATTAGCATAAAATATATCATATTAGGTTTAATTGGTATACGTATCATAATCATAGAAATATGATCGCAATCAATGTTCACATTTATTATACATAGACAAAACTTATCTGTAACTCGTTGCGTTTTTTTTCAATTCTTTATCAATAAATGGGAATGCCGACATCTTTCTTTTGACTCGACCAGTGTCAAAAGTATGGCGTCTAGTCACGATAAACAGTGGCCTTTAAATAGAGTTTGCAGTAAATGTAGACTGCATTAGGGTTGACAAAACAAAAAGTGACTGCTATGAGTAAGTGGTGTTATATAAAGGTCATTCATACAGATTGTTATGTGGTTTACACAGGGCTTTCTGCTGGAGGTGAGTTATGCACTATGACCCCTTTGGTAGTTTCGATGCGTTGACATGATAGATATTTTTATATCCTTTATAGAGTAACGCTGTCCGAAACTAACCAACCAATTGCGTTCCGTGTTACAAAACCAACCAACCAATTGGGTTCCATGCAAGGGAACTGTATTGACAAGGCGTTCATATCTTGGTATTCAATTAGGTCAGATGATAGTTGCTTTGATAGCAGGCTTTTCATAAATTCTGATTTAGAATGACTGAGTGAATAAATGAAGAACAATATCTTGATGCTGGTTATTTGTCACGAATAAATCCACTGATTTGGTCGATTTAGGACAACCGTGTTAAGAAATAGAGAACAAATAAATGGAGTGTATCCTACGCCACATTTAATAGGAATGTGTTGATAACAATCACAGCAGCATATCAACAGAGGCGGCGGCACGAAATGTTGCATGAGGGGCGAGATCTGCACACCAACCTTGCCCCGAAGCGCGACCTTGCTAGGGGTCCGGGGCATGCTCCCCTTAAACGCTATTTTCTGCATTTTGAGGAGCAAATTTCGATGAACACAAA